GTGTAACTGTAACTTGGCAACAAATGCTTGTGATTTTTGGGTTTATAAACCCACTTCTGCCCCTGCTTGGGGGTCAGGAGAAACAAGGCTCCCGAGTCCTTGTCCTGTGGCCCTGATGGATCAGTGACCCACTTATGTGGCAAATTATTAAAATCTTTGGTACCCATGAATGCTGTCTCTCTCCTTCCTCATGGTGCATAATGGTGCTAGGTGTAACCATCGAAGGCAATGCCAATGCCAGTGCCCGGGGTCTGGGCCGCCACCTGTGATCATGTCGGTGTCCAAGGGCTCCACTTCCATGGGTGTCAGGCCAATCCAAGTGGCCTGTGCAGCCACACCAGGCCACGCTCAGGCTGCTACCGTGGGCCATGTCTGGGTCCGTGGCCCAACAGCAGCCAGGGTCTGAGATGATGTCCACAGCTCATGTTACCACAGGGGATCGTAGGAACCATGCGCGTTAAAATCCAAGGGCCATGCTGCGCCAGCCAGTCCCACCCCGCACCATAGGTGTGGGAGCCCACGGCATGGGCCTAAGAGAGCTGACTCTGCCCCTTGACTGAGGAGGTGGTCCCAATAGCCCAGACTGGGACTACCACCCAGACCCACATCCTGGGCCTTGGGTTGGCCCATTCTATCATCTACCCCATCTACGACCTGCTGGAGTGCGCGAAGGGACTGGTCCTGTGGAACAATAACCGCAGGATCAGGATGTCCAAGAGGGATGTCAGTGAGGGTCCAGGGATGATGACGTGCCAGAGGCCCTGGACCAGACCAGTGACTCACTGCACTGAACATTCTCTGGATGGTGCTGAGTGGACAAAGAGTGTGATGTGTGACACACTGCAGCTCTCGATGCCACGAGGATGAAGGAACAATGTTGGAAAGACGGAGGAGTGAGGGGGATTTTTTTTTGGTTGTTTTGTTTTTAATTAATTGGGGGGCACACTGCAGGGGTGAGGGGTGAATATGGAGGGATGGGAGGTAAGTCAGATTGGGGTGCGTGATGTGAAATTTCCAAAGATCAATAAAAAATTATGTTTAGAAAAAAATAGAATACAGATTACTCAGCCACGCAAGGACCAGGCAGACGCCATAACAGGCTGCTCAGTCTTCTCTCAGAGATCAGGCCTCAATTTCAGTTTCCTGAGACTGAGCAGGCAGTTTCTGGGAGGACCATGACTTAGTCCTTGCAGTAGCTCCCTTTCTGCACGTACTCTGACTGCTCAAGGTTCAGTTGTTTATTGTCCGGGACCCCTCACCAACTTAGAGCTCCGTGCATGGATCAGTGTGAACGTGTGAGGCCAGCCAGCCTCCATGGCCGCTCAAGGACAGAGCCTGGGACTTGTCCAGGCCTGCCCCCAAATGGATAACTGTAGCCCTGACAAACCCCCAACTAACCCTAGCCAATTAAAAGTTACTAATATGATAGCCACTCGCATAAACCAATCCTGAGTCTGTTCCTATGTAGTCTGTAGACCCCAGGCCCCCTTGTTTACAAACCCTGCCCCATTGCTACTCGGGGTCTCTCCTGCTCTGCTGCTGCATCAGACGGATGGAGAGTCCCGAGTTAACTCATAACAATACAAAGACTCTGCTTTTGCATCGGGTTTGGTCTCTTGGTGGTCTTCAGGGGACTCTGGGTACAACGGACAAATAGCCAAACCTTGTAAAAGCATCAGGGCTGGAACAACTCAGAGGCAGAGCACGTGGCTAACTCAGAGAGACAGAGACAGGGAGAAAGAGACAGAGAGACAGACAGAGGGAGACAGACAGAGGGAGACAGAGATAAAGAGACAGAAAGAGACACCCACACACTCATAGAGATACAGAGAATGGAGATAAGCCTGTGACCATGGTGCTCAGGGCTCCTACGCCCTGCTCAGGCCTTCGTTTTGGACTTGAAAATCTAAGAACCACAGAGAAATTAGGTTCCGTGTGTGTGTGTGTGTGTGTGTGTGTGTGTGTGTGTGTGTGTGTGTATGTGAGTGAGTGTGTGAGTGACAGAGACTGCAGGAACCCCAAGTCCTGACCCCAGTCCCTCACTGGGGATCCTAGACAGGGGCTCCACCCCTGAGCCACGCCCCCAGCCCCTCACTGGGGATTCTAGGCAGGGGCTCCCCCCCTGAGCCACGCCCCCAGCCCCATTTTCGGAAGTTTTGTTTTGTTTTTCAAGACAGGGTTTCTCTGTGTAGCCTTGGTTGTCCTGGAACTCACTCTGTAGACCAGGCTGGCCTGGAACTCACAGAGGTCCTCCTGCCTCTGCCTCCCGAGTGCGCCACCATGCCTGGCTCCTTTCTTGGAGGTTTTAAGTGACTGAGATTCTGGTCACTATTTTCTTGGGAAACACACTATCTACCCCATCTCTGTATTTTGTTCATTCCCTTTGCTCCAATAATTCCTCGAAGACTTACGGTGTTCTGGAGTCTTCTTGGGCACTCTTTGTTTATGGCTTATCTTTTCAACAGTTCTGTGGGCTTACACTTGTCCAAACACCCCACTCTGTACAGAGGGGGTGGGATTGAGTTCCCCGCAGAAAGGGCAGTGTGTGGGTGCTGCTGAGGGTGACTCCGCCAGGACTCTGGGGACAAAAGTGTCAGTTGAGCCCCTGTGGGGGGGAATGAGGGGGGCTGATCAGCTGACCCTCTGCAGGCCCCACATGCCTCAGCAGAGCAATTCCCAGTGTCTGCCGTGGACCCTGGTTCCCATGCTCAGCCTGTACATTTATGAAGTGCCTGCTGAAGCCGGGCGGTGCACGCCTTTAATCCCAGCACTCGGGAGGCAGAGGCAGGCGGATCTCTGTGAGTTCGAGGCCAGCCTGGTCTACAGAGTGAGTTCCAGGACAGCCAGGGCTACACAGAGAAACCCTGTCTTGAAAAAGTAAAAATAAAAATGAAGTGCCTGTTGAATGTTGGGCCCTGGCTGAACTCAGATATGTAACCTCAACAGGCGAGTGTGTGTTTAGCAGTTACCAGGGAAAATTGGGGAAACTGAGACCCCACAGCAGGACAGATCCTTCCCTAGGTCACCCCACATCTTCATCTTGACTAGCCAGGGCTCTCTCTGCCCCATGGTGCCCTCATGGTAAAGTGAGAGTTACCAACACCGGTACTATGAGGTGGAGGCCGGAGAATCAGGAGTTCAAGGCCGCCCTTACCTATCTGGTGATTTCTAGGCTAGTATGGGTTATGTGGGCCTTATCTCCAAAAACGAAAATCAAATAAATAAAAATAAACAATCGGGCTGGAGAGATGGTTCCAGTGATGCCCCCTCGGCCTCTGAGGTCACTGCATGTACTCAGTCACATGCACATGCAGGCAAAATACCCATACACATAAAATAAAATAAAAAACAATTAGAAAAAAGAACCATGAAACCCAGAAGCTGAAAATCTAAAACTCCTCACTTGTTCCCTCTGTACCTCACCTCTGGCTCTGGCTCCTTCTCTATCATACTTCCCCATTCCCTTATCAGTACCGCACAAGGAGAAGCCAGGGCTGTCTGGTCCCCTACCCAGTTCTGGGGAACCTGGGACATGTCTGGGCAGGTCTGAGGTACTTGTAAAAGCTGCACATTCCTTGGAAGCAAGTTGCCAGAGCCAGAGGGAGACCTGACAGCAGGCAGCCCGGAGGAGGAAGGACCTGTTTAAGGTCCACAGGAGCAATATTTGACCCTCACTCCCATTCAGGTCTGTCACACAGTATGACCCTTTCCCTCCCAAACATGGCATTTTGAGTGACATCTAGAAGTTTACCAGGGGTGTGTGTGTGTGTTTTAAGACAGGGTCTTGACCAGGTATGGTGGCACACATCTTTAATCCCAGCACTCAGGAGGCAGAGGCAGGCAAGTCTCTGAGTTCAAGTCCAGCCTGGTCTATGGAGTGAGTTCCAGGACAGCCAGGGCTACACAGAGAAACCTTGCCTCAAAAAACCAAATAAATAAACAAAAGTCAGGGTCTCATGTTACAGGAATCATTTTTCTCCTTCTAGCAGGTAAGTCACTGGGGACGGAACTCAGATTTTCGGGCTTCACCTGCTGGGCCCTCTCACTGGCCCAAGATTTATTCCATATGGAAAACGATCAGAAAGGTCAAGAGTGCCCTGCAGGGTCCTCAGAAGAGGCTCAGGGTTCAAGCCCATCAGAGTGTCAGAGCACACAGAGTCGGTCCTCCACCGCGCTCAGCTCCAGTCACTCCCGCAAGGTGGTCTGACAGGAAGTCGGAACTGTGTGGAGTCTTTGCTAGTGCCAAGTTAAGTTCCAGCTTTGGCTGCACGAGCAGCAAGAGAATCCTGGGGAAACTCTAATGTTTTTGAGTCCCTTGTTTAAATATTCTGATAGACAAGAGAAGGGTCAGGTGTCCTTTAGAACTGCACTTCCTGCCTGGGTGTCTCACTGTCCGGTTGAAGTTCTTGGCCTGTATCTGCTGATCTCACAGCTGGGAATGTCGCCAGGGCCCCTGCGAACCCCTGCAAACCACATCCTGTGTCCCCACCACTGAGTGCTAGTTTATGACTTTCTGTGACTATAAAAGTTTGTGGCGCGTGACAGTCAGGGTGACAGGGATCTGCGTTCCCAGGCCAGAGTCACATGCCCTGGCTTGGCACGAACCATCTCCCCACCCCATCTCTTCCTTCTTGTCAAGCTGGGTTCTTGTCTGACCAGAGAAATTGTTGACCAAGCAACCAAGCACGTAGCTGCCGGCAGTGAGTGGAGGCCACAGGAGGCCGCTGAGAGACAGGGAAGCTGAGGCCTGGATTCCACCTTGGGATCCTCCAGACCCTTAGAATAAGGATGGGCTCCCAGGTGAGGCTGGGGGTCCATCTCAGTCTACTCCTAAAAGAAGTTACACAGGTTGGTTCATACCTTTGGCCCCGACCCAGAAAGGCTGAGGCCAGAGGATGGTTTCAGTCCACAAGCTGAAGGCCAGCCCAAGTGGGCCGTAGCAAGACCCCAGCTGTTGGAGGCAGGTGTAAGTCCCAGGAGGTGACATCAGACACACAACAACATGTTTCAACAGCTTTATTGGTTTCTGGGTAAAAAGTGTGAGGTCTCCCAGCGCGCAGCCTGGCAGGTCATTCTGGGCTCCCAGACACCAGGTTGGGGACTCAGCAGGAGCCCTGGGGTCAAAGAGAAGGCACACTGGGCTGGAGGAGGCTCGGGAGGGCAGGACAGCCCCCTCCATGGGATAAGAAAACAGGACAGCTACCGAGGCCCCCAGGCAGGCCAAAGGGAAGCACTTTCACAAGGTGTGGCTGTGGCCTCCCTGGGCTGGGCCACCCCAAGCCTTGGGCATGAGGAGCCTCACACCACCCAACATTAGTTAAACCTCTTAAAAGAAAAACGCTGTGTGAGAGTCCCCCAAACAAGACTGGGATGTGAAGCCCTGAGCCCCAGTGTGACGGGGAACCTGGCCACAGTGAGCCAGGCCCCAGTGCAGGGCCCCGGTACGCTCCACGCCCAGCTGGGCGCCTCCCCCGGCAGCGCAGTGGAGGGAGCAGCGTTCAGGAGGCCGTGCAGGGTCTCCCGCCTCCCGTTATTTTTCAAGTTTATTTTAATTCTGTGTCTGTGAGAGTTCCGTGTCCGGGGAGCCAGGAGGAGGCGCTACATCCCCTGGAGCAGGAGTCATGGCCCTTGTGAGCCCACCTGGTACGGCTGCAGGGGACTGAACACAGGTCCTCTGCAAGAGCAGCCAGTGCCAAAGGCCGAGCCATCTTTCCGGTCCCATAATCCTCTCTTTTGCTTTTTTTTTTTTTTTTTTTTTGGTTTTTCGAGACAGGGTTTCTCTGTGTAGCTTTGCGCCTTTCCTGGAACTCACTTGGTAGCCCAGGCTGGCCTTGAACTCACAGAGATCCGCCTGGCTCTGCCTCCCGGGTGCTGGGATTAAAGGCGTGCGCCACCACCGCCTGGCTTCTCTTTTGCTTTTTGTTCGTTTTTCAGACAGGGGTTTCTGTATTCCAGGCTAGACTCAAACTCAAGGCCATCCTCCTGCCTCAGCCTTGAGTGCTGGAGTTGCAATAGAGAGGTGCCAGGTTCCGGTTCTTACTCTTTAAAAGCAACCAAACCCCCCACATTTTATTTTGTGGGTCTCTGAGTGCGCACGTGTGCCGTGGCATGTGTGGAGCAGAGGACAGCTTTGGGGAGGCATTTCTCTTCCACCTTGTGGTGCTCGGGGATCAAATCAAAGCTTTTAGGTTTGGTGGGAACTGACTTTACCCACTGAGCCATCCTGCCTGCCCCTCTTACTCTCTACTTGATGGTTTGTTAAGACAGAATCTCATGTAGCCCAGTTGGGCCTCTGACTATGTAGGAGGAGCTGGCCTTGAACCCCGGTTCTCCTGCCTCCACCTCCAGGGCCTGGATGATGAGACCCTTACAGCCTGGAGATCCCGACACTGAGCTTGTCCCCATTACTCCTGAAATCAGGAGCGGCTGCCTCGACAGACAGGTGTGAGCAGCCGCCACCGACAGACAGGTGTGTGCAGCTGCCACTCGGGATTTGGTTTTTCAAACCCGAACACTGAGTTTGGTTCACGCCCCACTAATGCATAAAAACACGAGACACCTACCCACCCCCAGCCGACACTGTGGGGTCATTTCACCTGACATAACGCCCCCTCTTCCTGCTCCCCAGCCTGTGGATGCGGAGGGAAGCCGTCAGCACCCCACAGGGACCCCACGGGGACTGCTCTCTTTGGCTGAGACTGAAGAATCAGCCTTTGTCTTTTCATACCCAGAGGGGACTTCTGGGCTCAGACTCTCCAAGAGGTAGGGAGGTCAAAGGTGAGCTGTCTAGACAGTGGGTGGGGGGAAGGGGCAGGGCGGAGGAGGGGCAGGGCGGGGCGGAGGCACTGCCCTTGCCCACTGCGAGGTCACCCGCGGGCCGAAGGCACAAGCAGCCTGTGTACAGAGCAGCTGGCCTGGCTCCCAGCCCAAGCTGCGCACAAAAGCAACCTGAGTCCCTGAGTCTGCTTTCCAGCTTCCCTCGGCCCAGGGGCCCACTGTTTTCTGGAGGCTTCCATGCCAGCCCTGAGCAGAGTAGACCATGAGATTCCCAGCTTTAGCTGACACTATCAATATAACTTCAAAGATCTGCCTCCAGCCAGGCAGATCTCTGTGAGTTCGAGGCCAGCCTGGTCTACAGAGTGAGTTCCAAGACAGCCAGGGCTACACAGAGAAACCTTGTCTCGAAAAACCAGAAAAAAAAAAAATCTGCCTCCAAATGAGTCGTGGTGACTTATACCTGTCATCCTTGGGACATGGAGCCAGGGGAAGTTCAAGGTCTTCCTCAGCCATGTAGTGAGTGTGAAGCCAGCCTGGGCTACGGAAGACCCTGTCTTTAAAAAAAAAAAAAAAATCCAAAAGATCTGGGTCCTATTATGGTGGGCCAGCCTCAGCTCCCTGCGGCCTGCCTCTCCATGTGGGCTTGGGGACACTGGAGCAGGCCCTGGGCACAGCATACTGATCCAGAAACTACATTACCAATGTCCAAGCTGACAGCATAAATCAGACTTTCTCGTGCAGGCTGCGAGCCCAGACACCGCCACCACTGCCCCTGCTCGTGCCCCTGGCTTCAACTCTATCACAACATTACCTCTCTTCCTCCACCACTGGGCCCAGCCTGGCTTTCTTTGCCATGGCATCTGTAGGATGCAGGCCCTGCCCACCTCCGGCCTCCGGCCATCTATGGGATTGTCCTGCTCCCAGCAATCCCGTTCATCCTGCCCTCTTCTCCTAAGGTGAGAACGGGAGCGAGGAACAGCAGGGTTGGGGGTGACCTGCTCCTCAAGAGTCAAATGCGGCCAGGCTAGACCTACACCAGGCAACCACAGACTCCCTGAGCCCCACCTCCAAGAAACAAGGAGAAAAAAAATCAAGTTTTCTGGTCAGGGCAGGGGCTGCTTAACGGATGCCTAAATAAGTATGAGCCCAGCCCCATGTCCCAGGGCACCCCTCAGCTCAACAGTGGGGACTAGAAAAGGACACGCACACCCGCGGGGTGACTGGGGGCGGTCCTGTCTCTGAGCTGAAGTGCCTGGTGCTCTTGGCACAGGTGAGATGAAGGATGGAGACATGGATTTGGGGTGCAGGGCCACATCTTCCCCACCCCTCCTGCCCCTCCCCTCCTCCAGGGTCCTGCCCGAAACTTTGAGGAATTTGAGAGTGGAGTGCAGCCTGGAGCCCACCTGAAGACTTGCCAGGAGCTGGGTACATCTGAGGCAGGAGGATTGCCACGAGTTGGATGGCCAGCCTGAGCTACAGAGTTCAGGTAGAGAAACCCTGCCTCAAAATACAAAACCCAAACAAAGTCACCGGGATCAGAAAACAGGGGCAGTGGTGCCCCTGTCATCTCTGGGGGAAGCTGAGGCAGGAGGATCAGAAGGGCAAGGCCAGCCTGGTCTACACGACGATGTCCCAAAGTGTCTTGAGGGATCCCTTGCTCCTGAGTCCCCACATGCAGCCATGACTTGTGCTCGCCCTGGAGGAGAGCGCTAGCACAGGCGGGGGACAGAGCCCTGATAATTTAAACCTGGCAGCCACACCCACAGATGTGGCCCAGCACTGGGCAGGCTGAGGCAGGAGGGTCAGCCTCAGCTACATCGTGACTGGGGGGCCAGCCTGGGCTACATGAGACCCCATCTCAAACAACAATGAAAAGGTCCAGGGGTGAAAAGTCATCCGAGAATCCAGATTTCACACTTGGGGACAGTGAGGTCCCACTCTATTCCTCCACAAAACAGAGGGTGGCATCCAAAATGTGCGTGGCTTTTGGCGGCAGGAACTGAGCTTTGTCTTGGATGGGGTCCAGGCCACATGTCACATCCAGCCCCTCCTCCAGGCCTGGAAGTTCAAAGTCCTGGACAAGGCCTGGCTTGCGTCCCAAGCACACTTCCAAACAGTTCACCCGATGTCCCTGTGGCTGGTACAAATGCAGGGACAGGCCTGGGCAACGACGCAGCCTCTGGTCCCAGGTCCTGAAGAGGACACTAGAGGCCATCTGTCTCGAGTAGAGAAAACCCACAGATGCTGGGTGATGGTTCCGCTACTGTCAGGTTCCGGTCCCCGGCGGGCCCTCTGTGGTGACAAACACTTGTCCTCCCGGCACTTAGGAAGCTGAGGCAGGAGGATCAGGAGTTCAAATGAGACCAGCCTAGATTACATAGTAAGTTCAAATGGCCAGCCTGGGCTACCTGAGACCCTGACTCAAAAAAAAAAAAAGACAACAAACGCGCTCTGAAAACTCAGAAAGAAAACAAGGAAAGGAAGGTCATGGCCGGGCCAGTGCCGCCCAGGGAAGGGCCAGGCCCTCGGTGGCAACAGCAGCCTGCTCTTCTGAGCAAAGGGGACCCACTAAGGGACCCAAAGTGTGATGGCATTTTCAGGGCAGGAGGCAAAAGAGGCCTCCCCCTCCAGGAGAAAGAGAAGACACTTGTGGGCTAAGCCTGGAGTTTTAACACTGGGAATATAAATTGCTCCGTTCCCTAATCTACCACTGGACGGGTGGGGGACAGAAAAGGCAGCCAAGTTCCAGGTGGCTTTGCCGGGGACTGTCCAGGGTACAGGGACAGATTAGAGCGGACTCTTCTATGACACTTTGCGAGACCCTGGCCAGAGAGAAGGCCCTGACTCCATCCACAGCCCTGCAAAAGCAGGGTGTGCTAGGGTCAAGGCAGTGGCATGGCGAGTGTGCGGCCCCCAGCCTGTGGCCATGTCGCCCCAGCCCCGGCCTCCGGGCACAGCAGCTGTGTCCCCAGACACAGGACGATATCCAGATGGAGCTCTCTGCGTCCACCCGCCTGTGGTCCGCCAAGAGGAGGAGCAGATGTGAGTCAGGCCCTCCCATGGCCCGCTGTGTCTCCTCTCACAGCACCTGGGTGTGGACGGCGGTCAGTGTTGGTGGCAACAGCTGATGTCGCCCTCCACCTGCTCCAGGACACCCAGCATCTCCTCGATGATGGCCCGGAGCGCCCGGCCCAGCTGGTCGGCATTGTAAGGCTTGCCCAGTGGGGGCACGTGGACGAAAGCTGACCGACCGCGCCCCCGGTAGAGCGAGGTGTAGTAAGTGAAATCACAGAGGTACCTGGGTCGGGGAGGAGGAGACACTGGAGTCAGAGTCGGTTCCAGGCAAGCCTGTGCTGGGGGACAGTTGGGAGGTGGTGGAGGACCTAGGGGAATTCTGGGGACTCTGGCAGGCTTTTCTCCATTTTCTAAAACTTTAATTTTGCTGGGCATGATGGAGCCCGCCTTTAATCCCAGCACTCAGGAGGCGGAAGCAGGTGGATCTCTGAGTTTAGGCCGGCCTGGTCTATGGAGACGGTTTCGGGTCAGGTGGAGGTGACAGGACGACACCTGCTGCTCGGCCCCAGAACCCCACCCGCCACCGGCCCCTCGGGTGCCCGGGACCCCACCTGCCAGCATCCTGGGAGATAGTGACAGACACGTCCAGACCCAACGTGGTCACCCTTTTGCACACAGCATCCATGTCGATGATGGAGTCAATGCTCTCGGGGCCGTCCTCCACGCAGCACTGGGAGCCGGGGCAGAAGCGGCAGTTGTCCAGTCCCTTGTACCCCTTGTTGTGTCCACATTTCTCCAGCGTCACCGTGGTGGCCATGCCCGACACCCCAACATGCACCACAAGCTGGGGACAGAGGGGCGGGGCTTAGCAGGAGCAGACACCCACCCACAGGCACAAAAGCATGTAAGTCTTTTTGTTGTTGCTACAAAATGATTATTATATAGTTTGTTTGGGGTTTTTAGTGTTTTTTTTTTTGTTTTCTTCCGTGTCAGGGTTTATCTGTGTAGCCCTGGCTGTCCTGGAACTTGCTTCGTAGACCAGGTTAGCCTTGAACTCACAGAGATCTGCCTGCCTCTGCCTCCTGAGTGCTGGGATTAAAGGCGTGCGCCACCACAGCCTGGCATATTATGTGGCTGTTTAAAAAGCCCAGGGCAGCAGGGCACGGTGACAGACTCAGGAGGCAGAGGCAGGGGGATCTCTGAGTTCGAGGCCAGCCTGGGCTACAGAGTGAGTTCCAGGCCAGCCTGGTCTACAGAGTGAGTTCCAGGACAGCCAGGGCTACAGAGTGAGTTCTAGGACAGCCAGGGCTACACAGAGAATCCTATGTGTGTGTATGGGGAGCCCAAGGCAGGTTTTTGTTTTGCTTTTGAGATAGGGCCTTATATAGCCCAAGCTGGCCTCAGTCTATTATGCAGTCTAGGCTCTCCCTGAATTCCTGACTGCCAAGGTGACAGGTGTCTGCCATCCCTGTGCCCGGCTTGAGGTGTGTTTTGAAAGTCATCATTTCTATATTAATACTTTATTTGGTGGTGCTGTGTGGACATCAGGGTCTCACACACTCATACTTTAACTGTGACTTGCTCAAACCCTTCCTGGCTGGCACACGGAGGGCAGAGAGGGTCTATGCAGTTCCCAGTCACTGCCATCTCTCTCCCTTCCATAAGAATCCATGAAAGTTCAAGGGTGAGGTGCGGCAGTGGCCTTGTGCGGAGCTGGTGTGGTCTGAGTAAGAATGGCCCCACAGGCTCATAGATTTGTTTATGTATTTTTTTTTTTTTAATGTATGAGTGCTCTGTCTGCATGTACACCTACAGGCCAGAAGAGGGCATCAGATCCCATTATAGATGGTTGTGAGCCACCATGCACCATGGGGTTGCTGGGAATTGAACTCAGGACCCCTGGAGGCACAGTCAATGCTCTTAACCGCTGAGCCATCTCTCCAGCCGGCTCATAGATTTGAATGCTTAGTCACCAGGGCATGGAATTGTTTGGGACAGATTAGAAGGTGTGGCCTTGATGGAGGAAGAGTGTCACTGGGGGTGGGTTCTGCCCCGTGATGATTGTGGACTAACCCTCTGGAACTGTGAGCTCGCCCCAGCTGCAGCCCGGCATTTATGAGCTGCTTGGTGCCTGATGCCTTCTCACAGGACTGAGCAAGGACTGGGGAGCATGGATCTCCTAGGGTGCCCCGTGAACTGCTCACCTGGGGGCTGTGTTTCTCCCACAGCGCAGGGATGAGCCTTTGCACGGTCTGGTATTCCACAGGGATTTCATACACATGCAGGTCCACGCTGTCCCCAAGGCCCAGCTTCTCCAGTTCCTGGGAGAGAAGACATGGTGTGAGGGTGGGGAGGCCGCAAGGGCGGCACGTCCTGGCTTCAGGTGCATACCTGCCACCCCAGCACTTGGGGGATGGAGGCAGGACCAGGAATTCAAGGTCATCCTCAGCTACACAGAAAAACTGAAGGCAGCCTGGGCTCCGTGAGACCCTGACCCCCCTCAAAAAAGGCATTAATTACACCCAACCCACTGAACACCCCGGTCCAGCAGTATCTCCCTCGTGACCGTGACCACTGCAGGGCTGGCCGCCCGGGAAATGCCAGGCTGCTGGAGCCCAGGGAATTCAGGAAAGATCAGGGAAGACACGCAGAGCTGGAGAAAGATCCAGAATGAGAGACCCCCACCCCAGTTCCCCCTAAGGCCCGGAGAGCTGAGGAAAGGGACATCTTAAAATAGCCAGAACCGAGTCAGTTCCCCATTCCCAGACAGGGTAAAGTCAGAAGTTTTAAAAGTACAAAATCAGACTGTCTGGTGGTAACTAACCACGAGATGCCCCCCTCCCCCGAGATAACATGACCAGATTTTAGAGATGGGCTGTAAAACTTCTGAGCAAAAAATAAAATAAAATCCAAGCTCAGGAAAACTGGACCAATCAAGAGTGGACCCATACTAACCCCCTCCTCTCTGAAGAATTTTGTGGTTTTTGTCTTCAAAAGTTAACCTCCCCAAGGAAGAGGAACTCTCCTCCGTGCCTCGATTAGCCAGGCGCTGCGGATGAGGGCTCCCTGCTAGCTTGTATTAAGAAATAAACCTTGCTACTGCAGTCTGGACATCTTTGGTCTCCAGTGGTCTCTTTGGGGGTCCTAATCTGGGCAGAACAGGATTACTCTATTTCTGCAGTTGTAATGAAATACTGGGGCCAGGGGGCTTTATAAAAAAGGAGGTTAAGCCAGATGTTACTGTCATATTACTGAGGTCTGTTTTAACACTTGAGAGGCTGAGGCAGGAGGATTGCTGCTAGATTAAGGCCAGCCTCCTTCTCTACATAATGAATTCCAGGCCAGCCAGGGCTACATCATGAGACTCTGTCTCACACAACAAGAAACTAAAGAAAAAAGGTTTGGGGCTGCGGCTCAGCTGTTAGGAGTACTGGCAGCTCAGCGGTTAGGAGTACTGGCAGCTCAGCGGTTAGGAGTACTGGCAGCTCAGTGGGCACAGTGCTTGTAACTCAGTTAGTAGAGTGCTCAGCTAGCATGCGGTGAAGACCAGGATCCCAACCCCCGCACAGGTGTGACGGTGCACACCTGTCATCCCAAACACTCCGAGGGTGGAGGCAGGGGATTAGGAGTTCAAGGAGACCCTGACTCTGCAAATACCCTAAACTCAAACAAAAAGCATGAAAGAATTACAAACCCAATAGACAGAGCAGGGGATGTGCGCCACCTGCTGGGTGCACGTCAGGGGAGGGGCAGAGGGCAAGCTGTCGCCACAGCAACTGTATTTGATGGACTTTTGAACTTCACCGGTTAACAAAATAGAAAAGCAAAATAAACCACCCCCAGCGGAGCAAGTGGTGTGTCTGTCACGGCACTCAGAGGCTAAGGCAAGAGGATTGCAGTGAGTTCCAGAAATATCTAGGCTACGGTGAGATCTCATCTCAAAAATTAACCAAGGGTAGGAGAGGGCTTAGAGGGTAAGAGGCCTTGCTCACTGCTCTTCCAGGGGAGCTGAGGCCAGCCAGCACCTTGTACCCACATCAGGTGGCTCACCTCTGCAAGGGATCCCAGGCCTCAGGCATCTGGAGCCCTTGAACTCATGTACACACAGCACGTAATGGGCATGCGCGCACATGCATAATTAAAATAAACCTAATTTAAAAAATCAAAATGAAAGGACAGGCCTGGTGTCACGTGCCTGTCACCGCGCCCCCACCCCGCACTAGGGAGGTAGAGGCAGGAGGATCAGGACTTCAAGGTCAGCCTGGGCTACAGAGTGAGTGAATTGGAGGCCAGTCTGAGCTACATGAGACCCTGTTTCAAAAAAAAAAGAAAAAAGAAAAAAAGGCAGATGTGGTGCACACACATTTAATCCCAGCACTCAGGAGGCAAAGGCAGGAGAATCTCTATGAGTTCTAGGACAGCCAGGGCTACACAGTGAGACTGTCTCCAAAAAGCAACAAAACACACAAACGACTCCCCAGACCTTTCCGTGCTCACCCCAGAGCCCCAGCGATGAATGCTCAGTCACTCACGCTTTATCTGAATCAGGGTGTAAACCTGTATTTTAGAGAAGGCAGAAGCTGGGCTGGAGAAATGGCTCAGAGGTTAAGAGCCATTTCTGGCTGCCCTTCCAGAGGACCCAGGTTCAATTCCCAGCACCCACATGGCAGCTCACAAGTATCTGTAACTCCAGTTCCAGGGCATCCGACACCCTCACACCAATGCACATAAAGTAAAGTTAAATTTTTTTTTTTTTTTAAAGAAGAAAGAAACCAGGGCTCAGGCACCAAGAGAAAAAGCCCACACCACTCACGAACATCACAACCCTTCTGCTTCAAGAAGTCACTCAGGACAGGACCCCACCCAAGGGCACGTGCACCGAACCACACCAGCACTGGGGACCACTTCAGGTCCTGAAGCCTGCTGTTCCGGTTCCGGCACACACCCATCACGCCTGCCCTGGAGACTGAGATGGGGGAATGGGGGCGGGGGGCGGGGCAGCCTGGGCTACAGAATGACACTGTCTCAAAAAAAAAAAAAAAAAGGTTAAATTTAAGTTAGGAAATAGCTGTTTTTGTCTCTATACAGGATGCCACTATGTCACATGCCACCCTGGGACTCCCGACCCCCTGCTCTGCCTGCCTAGTACTGGGTGGCACCTCTGTGCCACCACGCCCGGGCCATCTTCACCATAACCTGCTTTATCTTTGAAGAGCTTCCCGGGGACAGATCCAGATGGCACTGTGACCTCAGGGGTCTGTCAACACAGCTAGGAAAGGCTACCCCGGCCTCTGGAGGCTCCTCACGCTGTCCCCACAGGTTCCACACTGTTCCCAACGGCAGCCTCACTAACGTGGGACAGGAAGCCAGAGCACAAGGAATGGACAGACGAGTACAGGGCTGTGCCTTTATGATGGTGCCTGCCTGTCAGCTCGTCCCCTCAGCCCTTGCAATGCTGAGGCCAAGAAGTCAGGAGTTCAAGGTCAGCCTTGGCTAATATTGAGTTTGAGGCTAGCCTGGGTTACTTGAGACCCTGTCTCAAAAACCAAACAAAATGCTGGGTATGGTGGCGCACACCTTTATCCCAGCACTCAGGAGGCAGAGGCAGGAGGAATCTCTGTGAGTTCAAGGCCAGCCTAGTCTATATAGTGAATTCCAGGACAGCCAGAGCTACATAGAGAAACCCTGTCTCAAAAAACAGACTAAAGAAAACACACATACACACACACACACACACACACACACACACACACGCGCGCGCACGCACGCACGCACACACACATGCATGCACACACACATGCGCGCGTGCGCGCACACACACGCGCGCACACACACACACACACACACATCAATAGCTGGTGTCTGGCTATGCACTTGTCCTCAGGTCCTTCCCAGCCCCTCGGGTGGCAGGGACTCCTATGTGGCCAGGATGAGCCGTTTGTAGCAGAGGGCTTCACCCAGAAAATTTGTGGGTACAAGTGGGTGTTTAATGTCCCCGTGAAGGCCGTGGGCGTCCACCGGGAGACGCAGCCCCTTCGGCACTGACACACTTTCTGTGGAGACTAGTCACAGACATGTCACTCTTCACCTGACCGCCTTTTGCCCCTGACACCCTCCTGGGGCGTGAATCCCAAATCCCACTCCCTGCATCCTGGCTCAGTGCTCAGCACCCCGGAAAGCACCGGGCAGGAGGGTGCAGCTGTGGCACTGTCCCCAGTCATCTACCTGAAAAGACTCAAAAGTCACAAAATTGGGCATGGCTGCAGGCTGCATCTGACGAGTCCCCTGACCCTACACAGAGCCTCCTTTGTTTGCTGGCATGATTCCTTGGAGGGTCTGTCTAGACTCATGGTGGCAGTAATCATCTCAGGCTGTCACCGAGGCCTGCTCTGGGACAGACTTCGCAGTAGCAAGCCAGAGGCTTCCTGGCCCTTGACATCCACCTGAGTCTCCACGAGGAGACCTGGGGGTGAGGAATGAAGAGAAAGCTGAGACTGAGGTGCCCTCTGTGATCCCCACACTTGGGAAACTGAGGCAGGAGAATCACATTGGGTTTGAGGCTAGCCAAGACTGCAGAGTGAGGTTCTGTCTGAAAACTGATCGATGAATCAGTCAGTCAAAAGAGCCAGGCATAGTGGTACACATCTATCATCCAGCACTGGGGAGGCTGAGGCAGGAGGATGAGTTCGAAGTTAGCTAGGGTGAGACCTTGTCTCAAAACTTTAAAAAACAAAAAAAGAGGTGGGGGGGAGTGGAGATAGTAAGGTCTGGCTTAACAGGTAACAGAGCTTGGGCCAAGCCTGGTAAGCCAGGTTCAATCCTGGGGACACACACAGTGCCCTCTGACCCCCCCCCCCGTGTGTGCCTTCTATGCAAACAATAGACAAATGCATAAATAAATGACATTTTTTAAAGGAATAAGATGAGAAACAGTTTGGGTTTCTGTACAAAATGGAGGTTTCCCCTCGGAGCCCCAAAGCTCTAAGGGAATTCCCAAAGATTGTTGAATTGATTTCTTCCCTATTTACATGCAGATGGTGGTGTCTGGGGCCCAGGAATCCAGACACTGGCTTTGTGTCCACTCAGCCCGTGAAGCCTCCTGTCTGCAACTCACACAAAGCCAGACACACAGGTCTTCAGAGACACACTGGACCTTTTTGTCTGGGGCTCTGGGGCGCGGGTGTGCAAGCAGGGGCCCCGGCCACACTCCCATCTGCAAGGTCCCCGGGATCCTGGAGTCTTCCGTCCGGCTGGCAGAGCGCAGGTGGGAAGCAAAGGGAGCGACGGAGACTTCGGAGGTGGGGAGGCGACAAGCTGGTGGCGGGGGACGCGGGAGTCTTGGGTGGGAAGAGGGAACCCTTAAATCACACAGCTAATGGGCTAAAATTAATCCGGGTCCGGCTGCCGTCTCTGCCAGCTGATTTATCTAAGAACCAAACGTCTGTCTCTCCCCACTCAATTGTTCCCGAGCCTGTCTGTCTGAATGTCCCATCTGGCAAGGAAACACAGGTTAGTGGAGTCACTCCTTGGATCGGGCTCTGGGAAGAGACACCCTCCTGAGGCTCCCAGGGCAGAAGCTGAGGGTCAGTGCCCTCCTTCTTAAGAGGCTAAGCCCTCACCCAATACGCCCATCTGCTCTCCAGCCTTGGCAGCATGGGCTGGGACACACAGGCCTTTCTCAAGGTAGTTTTGTTTGTTTTTTTTACCCAGGGTCTCACTATGTAGCCCTGGCCGTCCTAGAACGCATTATGTAGACCAGGTTGGCCTCGAACTCATAGAGATCTGCTTGCCTGGATTAAAGGCCTGTGCCACAGCACCAGGCCGATGGAAAAGGCTTTCAGCCAGGCATGGTTCTAGTATTCAAGAGGCTGAGGCAGGAGGATCATGAGTTTGAAGTTAGCCTGGGCTATACAATTACGACTAGGCTAAAAACAAAACAAAACAACAACAAAAAGTGAAAAAAGGCTCAACAAACATAAGCTGGATTGGCTGGAATCCGAGATGTTTAAACTGTATTTAAACACATGGAAAGACACTCGGCTCTGGGCTAGGCTTCTCCCCCAGTTCAGAGTTACCTGGACAGCGATCCAGCTGGCGTTCACAGTGTGCTCCCCAAAAGGGCCAAACCCTGAAAATAGGAAAAGAGACGTTACTCTCTTCCCACCTCAGCGTTCTGAAGTCTTCCCCCACCCACACTAGTCTATCGCCCCACCCTTCCCAGTCCAGCCCAGCTATGGATTCCAGGCTGACATCCTTTGACCTCCACCTGCCGCATGCTGGGATGTCAGGCCCAGGCTGCCAAGCCTGGCTCCCTTGTCCCTGTTAGGACTCCCACCTGGTAGGACCCACAGGAAGCAGGCCTCTCTGGTCGCTACTTCCTTCTCCAGCCAGGATGTCAACTATGGTTATCTTATCACTGAGTTGCTGTCTTCCAACTCTGGGACCCCGGGACCGTGGGCTGCCATGAGTCCCCACTGAGGATTAGCTCACAGGGCGTGGGCGGGGATGGGTATGTCTCCAGGCCCTATCTCTGACCAAGACAGGCTCCTGAGGCACCGTGCCATTTGGTTTCTTTCCCTCTGAAGACAGGACTGAAGCAGAGAGAGGAAGCGGACTTGCTGAGGGCACACAGCAAGAGAGAGAACATGCTGGGGTTCAAATCCACCCTCGGTAGGCTGGTCTTCCCTGTTCTAGTCACATTGAGAAAACAAAAAGGAAACCAAGACAACTGAGCTGTGGCCCACACCTCGGACCTAGTGTCTGGAGGCTGAGGCAAGAGAACTGAGTTTCAGGCCAGCCCAGGCGACATGAGACCCTGTTTCAAAATAAATAGAACCAGAAAAATACCTCAGTGAGTAAAATGTTTGTTACACAAGGACCTGAGTTCACAAGCGCAGTGTGGTGACACACACTTGTACTCCCAGGGCTGGGAAAGTAGAGACAGGCAGCTAGATCCTCAGGGCTCAATGGCCAGTCTAGCCTAACTGGCAAGCTTTAGGGCAGCGGTTCTCAACCTTCCTAACGCTCCTCATGCTGTGGTGACCCCCCAACCATAAAATTATTTTGTTCCAACTTATTAACTATAATATTGCTACTATTTGGGGTCATAATGTAAATATCTGTGTTTTCCAATGGTCTTAGACGAACCCTCAGAAAGGGTCGTTTGACACCCCCCCAAAGGGGTCATGACCCACAGGTTGAGAAATATCTCGTAAGTTGCTCCCAAATGAGAGACACTTTTCAAAAACCCAAGTGGACGGAGCCTGAGTGACACTTAAGGTTGACCTCTGACCACCACACGCTCAGGCGCGCGCGCGCGCACACACACACACACACACACACACACCTTCCAAGAACCTGGGTTAGTGTAACTCAGGTGATAAGGGGCCCACCTGCTGCCAATGTTCAGAAATGGCCACCATACCTCAGGACAGCAGGTAGAGGCCACGTCCTGGGGGCCCCTCGTCATGGTGGTACACACTGCTCAGCTAAACAATCACCCTGAGTGTAGCCGGCCTGGATCCCAGAGTAAGTTCCAGGTCGGAGGGACAGAGCCGTAGAAAGACTCTCAATAAACCAGCGAATACCCTCCCCCTCAAGGCTCCCAGGGATGGGGCACAGCGTCGCACACCTGCCCAGCAGGGGAGCCGCTCCCTGCAGTTTCCAGCCACAGCCTTCCTCAGTTACAGACCACCTGTAGGAGTTTCCCCAGCTCGCTCCCTGCGGCCTCTCCCGGCAGAGGTTAACCTGAGTGCCCTCCTCCGGGGCCTGGCGGAGTTGACTCCACCAAGTGGCCCCAGGCCGAGTCTCAGGAAATAAGTACAGTTAGCTTCCGGGGGTGTTGGCGACAGTAGGAGCTGGGCTCAGGAGTCCCTGGGTCATTCTGGGGTCAGGCTGACGCAGGCCCTCCACCTGCTCCAACCCGGGTTGCAGGCCCCCCAACAGTGCAGGGCTCTGAGTGGACCATGTGTCACCCGGACTTTTCCTGACCGTAAACCCGCCTTTGTCCCCGGAGTCACGGGGTGGGGACAAGCCGGAGCTCTGGAGGTGCGGGGAGGGGATGCAGCGCGCGAGGGGACCTCTCTGCACCCCAGTCCCCACGCGTCCCGAACTCCGGGACGCAGGACCTCGGACTCTGCAGGTCACCAGGGCCGAACGGTGCTGTCGCGGGAGGCGACAACTGCAAAGTTGTGGCAACCGCGAGCACCTGCCCCGCCGCCCCCGGCCCGGCCTCACCTACCGGTCACCACCACCGCCTTCCGCGGCTGCTCCATGGCGGGACGCGCTCCCTAGGACCGCGGCGGCGGAGACTGGAGCGGACACCGACCGGCCAGCGAGCCCCGCCCGGCCCCGGCCCCGCCCCCGAGCGCTGGGCTTGCGCGTCCCCGCCCCGGCCCCGCCCCGGCCCCGCCCCCGAGCGCTGTGCGCGCCCCTGCGCCGCCGGCCCGCGGTTCCGCCGAGCCCCGAGCGCACCGCCACGTCCTGGACCGAGCGCCCCGGCCAAGCCATTTTCCAGGCCACGCCCCTTAGAAGCCGCACCCCTACTTAACCCCGCCCCCGAGCCTTCCAAAGCCCCACCCTCAAGGCCTGCCTGGGACAAGGGGACGCTCCGAGCCACGCCCCCGAGCGCCGCCACGCCCCCGAGCGCCGCCACGCCCCCGAGCGCCGCCACGCCCCCGAGCGCCGCCACGCCCCCGAGCGCGCCTTTCTCAGACCCCGTAAGGCTCCAGACGCCTCAGACTACCAAGCCACGCCCATCCTGGAGCCCACCAGGCTCAGGTCACGTGTCCTCATGTCTCTTTCCCCCCCACCCCACAGTGCACCCCCGCCCTCAGCCTTCCAAAGCCCCTTGGCCACTGTCCTCCTGGCTCAGGCCACGCCCTCCAGAACTTCCCCCTTCTGAACTCTAGACCCCGCCCTGCCCCGTCCCTCCCCCCGCCCCGCTGAGATGCTAGGCGGGGCTACCTGGCCCCATCTAGGCCCCGCCCCGTCCCGCCTCCCGCCCCGCCCCTCCCCATCCCGCCCCTGCTGAAATGCTAGGCGGGGCTACCTGGCCCCCATCTAGGCCCCGCCCCCCGCCCCAGCCCCGCCCCCGTTGAAATGCTGGGCGGGGCTACCTGGCCCCTATCTAGGCCCCGCCCCCCGCCCCATCCCGCCCCCAGCCCCGCCCCCGCTGAGATGCTAGGCGGGGCTACCTGGCCCCATCTAGGCCCCGCCCCAGCATCGCCCTGCCCTGCCCACTCGCCCCGCCCCCTTGCCTGGCCACGCCCGTTATCATCCGGGACTCCCCCCACCTGCTCCTGGGCCAGCTGTGCCCCGCGCCGGCCTCCAGTGCTCACGGGGCCCGGGGAGTGTGCCCCTCTCCGCCCGTCCCGGCCTCAGTTTCCCTTCCTGTTGGAAGAGTGCGTTCACCTCCTAGGTTGTAGCCCGGCACAAGCTCACACTAGGGCGGGCTGGTCATGTACTTGTCATCCTCCATTAAGCGCCGCCTGCATACCTACAGCCCAGAGCCAGTTGACAAACAAGGACACCGAGGCGAGGCAGGGCGCAGGGGCGCAGGGGCGGCCACCCGGGCCTGTGCCCGCACACCGGCCGCGCCGCAGACGTCCCCTGCGGGCCTTCTCCAGGTCCCTCCATCAGGGAGCGCCTCCTCCTCGCCGTGGGCGCCTGCGCTGTGCTTCCCCGGGCCGAGGGGGCGCAGGGTCAGCGACACAGACGGGGGCGGTCTGGTGGGTGCGCCTCTGCCCGGCTGACACGGCCGCCGCCGCCCACGGGTCATCTCAGTGGCTCAGCGGCTGCCGCCCTTGGCAGACCCGGGTTGGCCGGCTGGCCCTCAAGCCTGTTGCGGCAGAGTCACCCCGGCTGTCGGTCCCTCTGCTGTCTGCCCACCTTCCTCTCCCAGAAGCCCCGTTTTGCTGGTTTCTTTTTTAAATCCTGCCCGTGGCTGCGGTGTGGCCCCTCCGTCCGCTCCACTGGCCTGCTCGGAGCGTCTGTGGGAGGGTGCCGTGACCACTCCACGGGGCCCCTGCCAGCCTAACGCCCGGCCTCCTGGGCCGCCCTGCGTCCTAGTGGAGAAGCCGCTTCTAGAGGGAAAACTCGCCCCCTCACCCTGCTGCCTTCCCTCCAGGAGGTGAGCACCCTCCTCCCTCCCTCCCCCTCCCTCCTCCTCTCCCTCTCTCTCTCCCTCCTCCTCTCCCTCCCCCTCTCCCTCCTCCCCTCCCTCCTCCCTCCTCTCTCTCCCTCCCCATCTCCCTCCTCCCCTCCCTCCCCCTCCCCTCCCTCCCCCTCCCCCCCCCCCCTCTGCTCCTCCACCTCCCTAGGCAGCGGCGTTCTCACCTGTCCCGGGTCCTGTCCGCCCCATGCCCCCAGGAAAGCCGCCCCGCCTGTCGCTGCCCCTGACTCGCCCTGTCTGGAATTCTCTCTTCATCTCTCCCTCCGCCTTGACCACGTTGCCGGCCTCCTGCTCGGCCCGGGCCTGCCCCCAGCACCCCACGAACACCGGCCACCTGGCTGTCTCTGCCCCACCGCGCAGGCGAGCCCCTCGGCGCTGCCCTCTGACCCGCTGCTGCCCACCCCTGGGAGCCCCACCTCTCCGTCCCGGGCGGCCTCCCCCCTGCCGCCGCCGCCGCTGCTCCTGGGACCTGGGAGATGGCCGCATTCACCTCTTCCTGCCTGACTTTTAAACGCTTCAATTAACTGTTCCTTATCTGCTCAATTTATTTTGGGACAAAAAAAAGAAAAAAAACCCAAAAAACAATATGAACACGTGGTCAGGCAACCACGAGATCAGGCAGTGCCATCTTAAATAAGGGCAACCACGGCATCAAGCCACCATTTTGGCTAAGGTCAAAACAGACAGGTCATATGACCTCACGGCCACCTTTACTAGGGGCAGCATGGGCGGGTGGAGGTTCAGTTGCGGCCGGGTCCCCTTCCTTAGCGGCTGCTCGGGTAGGTGGGGACAGCACGTTCCTAAGACCGGACAGGGTAGCAGCAGATGCTTAAGATTTCAGATCTTGACATTAATACAGTTCTGTTACTATTTGGGTCACAAGCTCGGGATTTTTAACCTACAGGTGTGAGTCTGCTGCTGCTCCCCACATGCCGCAGTTCAGGGGTCTTTCTCACGTGCCTATTCCTGAGGAGGGCGTTTTTCTCTCCTGGTCTCCAATCACCAAAGCTACAGGCCTGAAGGTCCAAATAGATTCATGAATTTTAACTCCGTCTCTAGCCTGCATCTGTTTCAGTGGACTTCCATCTGGCTGACTGACATATCCAGGCATTGGCTGCTGACTTCGGTCTGTGAGACACGGACCTGCTGAAGGCTTATGGTGGACCAGTCCAGCAAAATGTAATTATTTTCTTCCTCTACAATAAATTCCTCTATGATAAATACCCCATTGCCTTGGTCCTGGACCTGCTCCCCAGCTCAGCTTGAAGCAGCTATGGAGACTACGTCATCCTGTGCTCTCTGTTCCCAGGACAGGCTGGAGGGCTAGGTTAGGGGTAAAAACCATGAAGACAGCAAACAATGCTTCTTCACTCCCGCCTCCCGCCATGCGTGACTCCCGGCTTCCCCACTTTGCCCCCTGCCAGCTTGAAGCAGCCTCGAGAATTCAGCGCCTTGTTCCTCCACTTGCTCCCATAACTCACCTCTTTTTATAATAATCCAAACAGAAATGTTAATATTCTGATCCCGCCCCTTGGGGCTGCCCTGCGTCCTGACTAGCGGGAGATAGAGAAAAGAGAAAACTGAGAAGCAGCAGCAGCAGCAGCAGAAAGAGAGAGAGAGAGAGAGAGAGAGAGAGAGAGAGAGAGAGAGAGAGAGAGAGAGAGAGAAGCAGAAATATCAGGGTTGTAAGCAGAATAAGCAGCTGGGGCAGGAAGCCGGTGAGCTGGACAGAGTAGCCATATGTCCCTACTGCCAGTCATAGGGAAATGACTCCTTTTCGTAGAGGGGACCCAGCTTCACAACTTCCCAAGGAATGCTGGCTTTTATCTAACCTCCAGTCCAGGTTGAGGGAAACCATAGGCCACCCCAAAGCCAGGGTCATAACCCTGGGGTACTCAGAGGGCCTCCAGCCAACCGTGGAGCGAAACTCCCCAAGGGGCAGGTATGGGGGGACACCTCAACAGGAACAGTGCCCCCGCAAGTGTGAGGCCCTGAGTTTGAATCCCCAGAACCTACACAAGCAGCCACGTGTGGCTGTGCACGGCTCTAACACCAGCACTAGGGGTGGAGACCCAAGGTCCATGGGGCTCACTAGCCAGTCAGCCCAGACAAGGGGAGTGCTCTAGGCTCAGAGAGAGCCTCTGCCTCAAAAACTGATGGGGGATCAATAGAGGAAGGCCCTATATGACCTCTTGCCTCCATGTGCACACACAAAATCACCCTACCAGGATGAGCACAAAGAGAGGGCCCAAGGAGGCCCAGGGGCCCTGAGGTCTCTAGGCAGGTTGCAGCGGCTGGAGGGAGAGGCATTATCCCCAGTGGCATACCCCTGGGACAGCTGCCATGTTCCTGTAAAGACCCTAATTAAACTCGGTGGGTCACAGAGAATGAGCAAAAGGAGAAACGGAAGGAGGGGAGGAGGGAGGGAGGAAGAGAGGAGGGAGGGAGGCCTGTCAGCCTGCAGGGCCGGGGCTGGGCACACCCGGTCTCCAGTGGGGAAGGAAGCTCCTCCCCAGAATCTCGCCCTGTGCCAAGGCCCTCCTCTGCAATAAGCCAAAGAGAAGAAAAAGGCCCGCTGCTGCTCAGAGCCCAGACTCTGAGACATTGTCTCAGAGCAGCAGCAGCAACAATAAAAACAAATTTGTAACTGTTAATCTGATTTGGAAATCCAGACTCTGAGTGTGGGGATGAGAGAATGTGGCCTGTGCTGGCCACGTGACATGCTGTCCCCATCACCCGCTGATGTTGCTCTCAGGATAGACTACCACGGCAGTGTGGGGGGGCTCGGTGACTCAGAGCCCCCTCTGCTGGTCTGGCATGCTGCCTGTACGCCACTTTCTTGGGACACTCTGGAAGCTGGGACCACACAGAAGCATCAGGTGAGGTTTTCTGGAGTTCCAGACACCTGCATCTCGTTAGGGAAGGGACGGGAGCCCCATGTCCTCCTGGTCAAAGTCCCCTGAAGCCAGCCACTGTGTTGTCTTCCTGGGCAGGCCACCTGAGCCACCCTAAGCCTTTGCCCGCTGTACTAAAACCAGGTCATTTGTGCCTAGGACAGCACATTCCTGGGGCAGGGGCCAAAGGACACTGGCCTGGGGTGGAAAAGGTTCCATGCTAAGGCTCATGTGTTTTCTTATTTTGTTGTGGTTTTGTTTTTACTGAGACAGGATATCATGTAGCCCAGGCTAGCCTCAAACTCATTATGTAGCTAAGGATGCCCTTGAACTTATCTTCCTGAATCTGAGATAACAGGTGTGCATCACCACGCCCAGGGCCTGGTGCACGGTCAGGATAACCCACGGTCAGGTCATCCCTCCCACCGCATCAAAGCAGTATGTCTCTAGACGACTTGTGAGCTCCTGGCAGGTTCAGCTCTCTCCACCTTCCATCTCAGCACACAAGTGCTGGGATTACAGATGTGTACTTCTGGATCCAGCTTTTCACATGTGCCCTGGGATTGAACTCAGGTCTTCAGACCCTCGCAGCAACCTCTTTTGCCCTCTGAGCCTCTCTCCCTGCCTCTTTGCTTCCCCCATGAACTGGCATTTGCTCCACCCAGGACCTTGAGCTATGGGGCCCGAAGGAGGCGGTGCTTCTTGCCACTGTACTTGCCCTCTTAAAAGGAAAGGGAGAGGGGTCATGGGCTCAAGCGACCGCCTGCATACAGCGGCCATGCTGGGAGCCTATAAGCCAGGCAGCTCTTGCCCAGGCCTGGTGGCTCACGTGGCAGCAGTTCTTGTAACCACTGCCAGAAGCACACATATTCTGCAGTGGATAGACACCGCGTCAGAGAGAAAGGTGTCCACGATAGGAGCTTTTCTAGCTCTGTGCTTGCAGCGGCTGGATCGGGTCACACAGACACACAGACACACACACACACACACACACACACACACACACACACACACACACACGCCTGGTCAAAGACTACCAGCAGACTGTTTCTTTACTTTTAAAACCGTTCGGTGTAGCTGCTGCCGATTCCGGGACAACCTGGGCCACCACCCTCGAGAGCACACCCTCCTGGCAGCCTGGCTCCCCTGCTGCCACATCACCATTCTGTGCACGGCCGCCACCGATGTTCTGCCGCCACCGATGTTCTGCGTACTGCCTCAGTTGTTGTGATCCCGGCAGCTCTGCCCAGGTAGGCTTTGCCTGGGTGAGTGAGTGATTCGCAGCAGCCCATTCAGGGAGCTGAGTCAGCTCACACCAGACCTGTTCTGTCGCTACACCTGCGACACCTGCTGGTCGAACTCGCTGCTACACCCCAAAACCATCACGAGAACTGGGACTTGGGGAACACCTAGGACTGGTAGGGCCAGCTCTCAAGGATTCCATCAGAGGGAAAATTACTTGATAATTTTATGCCTTAAACTGATTAATAAATAAACAAATTAATAAAATTTTTCTTTACAAATTTTGAATATTTTTCAAAAAATGGCAGACAATATCACCACTCAGGAATTTAAAAACTTTTTTGTTTGTTCTATGAATGAAATTTTACAGGACATATACAACCTTCCAGGTACATATACAACGTTTGCCATAATAGCAATTAGCATAGTGACTCATCTCATCTCATTGAAAAATTGGCTTAATAATAACAGCAAAAAATGAGACATTAATGGGACCTATACGGCTTTACAAAGGAGTAATAAGAACTTAAACAGAATGATACTTTCTATGGAATCTGCTAATTTACCACAAGAACTTCAGGCCATTAATAATAACTAGAAAACCAGATTTAATTCTACTGATAATAAATATGAATACTTAATGGATAAAACAATAACTCTTCAGAGCAATCTTAGTGCCATTCCGATAATTTCTAAGGAGGAAAGATCATTGCTAATTGATAAAGTCTTTGAAATCATGTGTTTCTAATGAACATAAAAAGTTGTATGATTCCATGAAATCTCTAGAATCCTCTACAGCAGAGGAGATTCAAACACTGCAACAGGCAGGTAGTTACTTGATTTCAAGCTCTGGAGGAGTCTCTCAGTAAGGATAGTAAAGGAGCTAATAAACAAAACAGCAGAGCCATGCAAGTAATGACATCACCAGGTGGCTCTTATTAAATGGCTTATCCTGTCCCCATCCATGAGAAGCCAGCAGATGATACACATCCTGAAGAATATATAGAATGTATCTGGCAACCCAGTCGTATGAGGGATTTAGAGCACATTAAGGAGGCTGTAGTTACATATGATATACACTCAACATATGCAAAACAGATGTTAAATACATGGTCTTCTAGAAATAGAATTTTACCAGATGACTGGAACTGGAATCAGTTAATCTCAGCTGTGTTAGAATACAGACAGCAGTTACAGTGGAAAAGCTGGCTGAGAGAAGAAGCTAAAGCCCTTGAGCAGCAAGGTAAGATTAGAGGTTTTAAGACCTCCCAAGATCAAATTCTTTGTGAGAGCTGCTTCATGGATATAAATGTACAATCTATCTTTGATGAGCATACTTTATCCATATGCCATACACCAGCCTTAAATGCTTGGGGAAAATTTCCAGAGCCAGGAAAACCAACTGAGCTCTATATGAAGGTTTTTCAAGGGTCAAAAGAACCACTTACTGCCAGGCGGTGGTGGCCCACGCCTTTAATTCCAGCACTCAGGAGGCAGAGTCAGGCGGGTCTCTGTGAGTTTGAGGCCAGCCTGGGATAGAGAGCAAGATCCAGGAAAGGCACAAAGCTACATAGAGAAACCCTGTCTTGAAAACAAAACAAAGAACAGTTTACTGATTTTTTTTACAAAGACTGACCAAGGCTATAAACAGTACAATATCAGACCAAGAATTAAGACAAGTATTAACTCAGTCTTTGGCTTTTGATAATGCTAATACAGAATGCAGACGAATACTTACAACTTTAAAGGTTGTAAGGTCAGCACCTTTGGAACAATGGATCCAATACACAAACAATATTGAGTCTCTTAACTATGGTGATGAGGCTTGGATAGGAGAGGTGATTTCCAAAGGTAGAAGGAGACATCAAAGTACCAAATGTTTTAACTGTGGTAACCAGGTCATATAAGAAGAAGTTGTACACAGGGTGCTCCTAGAAGCAATGCTTCTTCTAGAATTACCCAAACAGCAGACCCCAACCTTCTGGATTGTGCAGAAGATGTGGCAAAGGCCAACACTGGACCAATGAATGCAGATCAACAAGAGACATACGAGGCAACCCTTTACCAGCAGGAAATGCCTCAGAGGGC